CTGTTCTTTCCAGCTGCCACCGAGAACTTGCTCTGGGAGCACTGGAATCTGTTATGTTTGGGGTTTCGGATCTTGCCAATCGTGCTGTTTTGTTTGCTTTAAACAGATGTAAAATGATACTGAGATTATTGCTGATTTATGTTCTGTTGTGTTAGCAGCTTCTGAGTACTTTTGTGGTAGGTTGTTTCCCTTGATTAAAAAAATAAACAAGTAGACCAGCTGCAATCTAAGTAGGAGACACAGGCTTTAGAATGTCTGTGATGCTTAGGTTTTGCTTTGGATTTTTTCCGGAAAAGCAGCTCTCTAGATAGACGGTTTTCTGGCATTTAGAGTTCATTGCTTATGTGAGATAGTAAAGTACATATAATTGATTAAAGAAAGGTGACAAAGAGCCTGAGGAATAAAGTCAGTTCTTATTCGAGCAGAGCACTTTCATTTTGTTTCCCAGTGTTCTTATGAAAACAGCTGTTATATGAGCCTTCAGCTGAGATGATTGGGCTCCTTTTTGTGGCTTCCCTCCTGTTCTCTACATCAGGACTGTGGTTATTACACCAGCTACCAGGAGCATCTACGTGCCTTTTGTATCTGAGCTCTGTCAGTCCAGACCAGGAGGTGTCTCAGACCCCCCCAAGGATGTTAAACGAGAAGTTGCAGAAAGAATTTCGGAGCATGTATCTCTAAATTGTTCATATTGGAATGTTTTTTGTTTTTGTCGTCGTTTGTTTTGTTGTAGTTTCTTGGTTAGGGTTGAAATGACAGGAAGAAGTTACCCCTTTCTAGCCTTAAACGTAACTCTTCAACCTGTATCCTTAAGAAGGATCAGAGAGGTTTCCCCAGATCGATTTTGCTGGTCCCATCTGTCTCTGGAAGTCAGAATAGTCGGAACTCATCAGCATGTTCCTGATGATGGTCGGTGGACTGAAGTATCAGAAGGCGCCTTACTTCAGAGCTCTGACTATACAGGACTTAAGTCAAGAAGGAGACTCCTTCCCTTCGTCGGCATTCCTTGACTATTCCTGCCGTTCTCTAGTTTCCCTTCAGGTTGCCGTGGCCACTCCTTATCCCTCTATAAAGCTGATTTTCTTAAGCTAGTCTCTCTAATGGATTCTTTTACTTTTCTGCTGAAAGAGAAAGAACGTATAGTTTATAACAGTTCACCAAAGGTCTGTGGTGGCAGAAGTTAAAAAAAAACTGCAGCAACAGCTAGATGCTAGTTCACAGTCGTGTGGGTTTTCCTTCACGTTCTTTTGTTTGATGCCTCCTTGTAGCGAAAAGAGAAGTTGAAGGCTGGGCTGTTGGCTTTTAAGTTCAGAGGAATCTAATTAGGGGTCGGCTGTGGTCCCATAAACCCCTGTGCCGAGACCTTTTTAAAGGACTTTGAAAACTGAAAGCATATTGCTTACTGCTATTAGGAAAGCTGGTTTTTTTAAATAAATAAATAAAAGGCCAAATAATTCTTTGATCTCCCTAACAACATGCTATGGTTTGTGGCAGAAACTTGAAATGTATGAGATTTGTCTTCCAATCTTGTGTTCTTGATAATTGTCTGTTTTCCAAAACAGAAAATAAGGTTTAACCTCATGACTTTGGCTGGTGTCAGTGGGGCTGAAGTTTCTAAATCACCCACGTACACCGCTAAAACCATCGCTGTGCACTGGCTCCAGGACAACTTGATAACAACTTGAGTGTTTTTCGAGTAGGTACTTGAGAATGTTAAGCAGATGTCCACGCAAACCATTTCTCACGGAGACTTGCGACCGTATTTTAGAGCATATTAAAATTCAAGTGAGTTGTAGGCTTGTGGGAAAAGTCGTTTACTGAAGGACATCTTAGGTATTGTTTCTGCTTTTATGATTCAGCGATTGGAGTTGTCTTTTAAATCTCAGACACTGGCCTGAGCACTTGACTATTGCTGAAGTCTGTTTAAAAGTGATAGCACCACTCCTCGAAAATTGTTCTTGCTTAATTCCCCTTAGGGTGATGGAACTGATGGGGAAGAAGGAACAGGAAGAATGCCGCTTGGAAACGAGTTCTGTCCACAGTGCTGGTTGGCACTTTTGCAGATCAGATTTAGTGGCCAGTTCTCTGCCACCTCCTGTGTTGCCCATAGATGCCTAAAATATAATCGATTTCCCTTAACACAAAGGAGAAAGCGAAGGAGCACTTTTGTCACTGGAACATGAGACAATAAAGTCTAACTGAAAATTGTTTTTAATTTATCATAAATGTGATTGAATTTTTAAAGGATAAAGAAATCTGAGGAACTTTGAAGGATGTTAGAATTTGATACAATGGAATAAAAAAAATACTAATACGAAGTGGCACGTGGATAATATAACAAACACCTATGTACTCACCACTCAAAATGAAAAAATAGTAACATTTTGTTGTATTGCTTCAGATTATTTTTCAGCTTTGAAGAAAGAAACCATTGTAGTTAAGGTCAAATTCCCCTTTCTATCTCTGCCTAATCCCATTCCTCCTTCCTCCCCGTGGACAACGCTGTGGTGAAGTCATGAGGTACATTGTATGATGCATTAGAAGGGCGTCATGGCATTGGCATCTCAGGAGTTATGTGGATTTCTGGTTGTGATTCTGCTTTTTTCTCTGAGTAGTAAAACAATTTCTTTTTAAAAATTAGCCTTATTTTCAAGTAGCAGAGAACTAGACAAATTAATGAGAACCAGTGGCTTCCGGTTTTTAAGAAAAATATATTCAAATGTTTTCCTTTTGCTGATGAGAATGAGTCACTCCCCTGGGGTCTCTTTCTGCAAAGGCCTCCTTGTGCCCAGAAAGGGACACTGCTGAGAAACCTGGCATTAATTTTGCTGATGCGTAACCTCTTTCTGATTGCTGACTTCTAGAACAGCTTCTTCTGTGGAAATGGTCATGATCACATACAGTAGAAATTACAAGGAGCAGAGCATCCATATGGCTCTCTTGCAGTCTGTTCCTAGGGAAGAAAACAATGGAAGCAGGAACAGAGCTTTGACTGAGAGAAAACCTTCCAGGTTTTTTCCTCCTGTTGATTTCCTGAGTGAGCCTTTCCCAGGAGAGGACTCTGCTCATGCTTCTGTTGAAGCATGAACTTGGATGTCTCTTTTGGTTTGTTAACATCAGAAAAATGACCAGACAGTGAATTTCCCACTGGGTGGAGCTAGGAGAGGTTGGCTAGATAGAAGGCCTTGATGTGCCTAGGAGTAACAGGCCCCGAATAAAGCCTCACCCCACCCCACCCCCAGGACTTCCAGACTAGTTCCAACTCTGGGCCACCCTGCTGGTGTAAGTTGAGTGGCTCCTGATAGCCCCTTGTGTGGTGATGACTTCAGCCAAGACTCCTCCAGTCAGAGCTGCTGATTCCTGAGTCCCTGCCTAAGCTGCCCTAAAGCCTGGGTCTCTCCTGGTGATAATGCAGATGACTGAGAAGTTGAGAGCTTTGCTTCAGCATGAACCTTACTGAACAGTCCAGCAGAATTTACTTCGAAAAATTAGCCCTTTCTTCAATAGCTGTAGCATATAGTCTTAGAGAAGAACAGACAGAGGGCACTCAGGCGGAAATGTCCTCCCTTTCATTTTATAGATGAGGAAACTGAGGCCTGTGTAGAGGGGACTTGCCTAGGGTCACAGTAACTAATTAGCAGAGCCAGGACCTACATCAAACTTAGTTTGGTAGCTGTTCTTCTTGTATTCCTTTTAGTGTTACTAAGTTGACCTTTCACAAACTGTAATCAGGGTTGTATCAGGGCACTTGGCTTTTGGGTAAAGTAGACAAAGGGTCTAAAATAGACATTTGAATAGATGCCATGAGCCAGGCACTGTGCTAGAGAGACTTAATTGAATAGTCAGCAGTAGACAGGGGGTCGCTGCCCTGGAGGAGTACTCAGTGGAGGAGAAAACCACCAGATCACAGTGCAGCGTGATGGGTGGTATCATGGAAGAGACCTGTGGACCAGGCAGGCACGGCAGGAGCAGCTGTTGAGGAAGGAATGGGAAGAGGCCTTTGGGAACTGTGATTCTGGCAGTCTCCATTCTGGTATCCTCCCCATCATGCCTCCATTCCCCCTCTGAGTCCATATGTGTGAGGTAGAGAGCGTCTTCGTCCGTGATTAGTGACTTGGCTTCGGCAGGAGCTGTGGAGCTTCCTGAATCTGTGTGAAGGATCGCCTAATGAATGGGATCTGGTTGATTTTCTCAAGGAGCCTTTCCCTGGAGAGGCTCTCGTCACTGGGTGTCCCCACAGACGGATCTTTTATTTCTTTCTCCTTCACCTCTGGCCTCCTGGCAGTTGTTCTGTGACTTCACAGCGGCAGTAAGAGCTGTTGATGACCCTTCTGAGTCACAGAGGGCTGGGTTTTTACATCAGTGGCCCTTCTAGGCCAGGGGAGTGAGAAATGAGAGTTGAAATAAAATTGTGTCCTTGGCAAATTGTGGTGCCCGTTCGTCTTTCAGGAAGTCTCTCTCTTTCTCTTGAGTCGGGGCTCCCAGAAGTGCTCTGGGGTAGCTCTAATAACCTTTCTTCTGTGGCTCTTGACTTGGGGTGGGTTGCAAAAGGCTCAGGGTAGTTAAGATCCCAAGTAGAAGCACATAAACAGGTAGATTTTCCAATCCACACTCTACCTTTGACACAGTGATGCAAATTTCACAGCCCCTGCCATGGGGCTTCATTTATGTATTTATTGGTGACTTAGGCTTACATATTGACAGCTGGCACTTTTACTTTTAGTTTTGATGGCCTCTCTGCTTCCTGCCTGAGAAGTTCCAGACTTCTAGTTTTCCTTAATCAGAAACCCCGTCTGCTCTTGTTTCTCCTCCCTCAAGTGGCATCACATGGCTGCTCTCTGGAGGAGAACTGCAACCTGTCGTTTAGTTAGAGGCACTTTCTGACGTGTGAGTGGCCTCACTTGGAAACCCATAGGCTCCTGGGGCGGTGGCAAGTCGGGATCTGGGATCTGGGATCTGTCCGCGTTGTTGATGTCACCTGGGTTCTGCTCTCCTTTCAGCTTGCGGTGTTTTCATCCACAAGGGCTGTAGAGAAAGTCTGGCCTCCTGTGCAAAAGTCAGAATGAAGGTAAGGCATTTCTCGCTAAACCAATAAAATCCTCAGGGTTGGGAGAGTTAAAGTTATGAGTTTTGTTTATTTTAATCATTTGATACCAACTTTGAGATCAAAATAACCCAAAAATTCTCAACCAAGTGATTGATTCTCTGTTTAATTAACACACTTGGGAATTTATACCTTTTGGAAAGTAAAATGCTTTCAGAACTTCCCCATGTTAAATATACATTTCTCTGTGATTTTAATATCTCTCTGTCACTGTTAAAGTGGTTTTCTTCTCAACCGTGTCAGCAGATCTGCTCTGCTGTTCACATACCTGGCTTCGTCATTCGGGACCATGGGTGCAGCAGGTGGAAATCAGGGCCTTTGGCCCTAGTGGGCTGGGGAGTGTTAGGGTTAGACTCAGCCTGTCTGTCAGCACTTTTCTCCACGGAATACATACAGATGACTCTGATCACATGACACAAGAACAGGGAGTGACACTTGTGTGGTGGGACCTGCACTGAGAACACACACTGTGTGATGGTGTGCACTGCCCATCAAGTGGCCCTTAACAAAAGAGCATGGTTTGGGGGCGTACCTTTCGGTTAGCCTTCGTGGTTTTCACTGTTCTCATCACCCGTAAATGTCTTTTCGTTCCTTGTCAGAAGAGTTGTCTCCAGCAAAACACCAAGTCTCAGCGTGCTGTGTGCTTCACCAGTAACCACACTTATCTTGGGCAGTGGCCTCACACTTGGCTGTGCGTCAGTCACCTCAAGGGCTTGTTAGAAGACAACTGAGTCGGCCCCCAGGCCCTGAGTTTCCGATTCTAGGGTGGGGCCTAGGAGTTTGTATTTGCAACAAGTCCTCGATGATGCTGACACTGCTAGTCTGAGGACCACACTTTGGGAAGCACTGAACTACTGTAAAGATGACAAACTTCTGTACCCCGGATCTTATTCAGCCCACAGACATAAATTTTTTTGGCTCATGCAGTATTTTTTTGAGTTAATGCAGTTATTTATTTCACATCAATTTGGATTTCTAGCTTCTCCTGACAAATTGGAAGATCTCACAACCTGGTATTGCCCTCTACCCAGCATTCCCAGTTCTCACCTTGCTCTTTTTCCTTTTTTCCATAGTACTTGTAACCTCCTCAGAGTCTATATTTAACAGTCTGTATTTATCTTTTTACATTTATTTTTTATGGTCTGTACCTTCCCCACACTAGAATGTAAGCAGCAAACTTACCAGCAGTCTGAGGTCAGGAATGTTTCATCCACTGTTAGAGCCTAAGCACCAAGAATGGTAGCTGGCTTATAGGTCCTTAAATGTTGGAGGGATGGATGAGAAGTGATACTCACCTGGAGCTGAGTGGCTCCTGCCTCCTTTGGACAGGATGCACAAGTTCCAGATGGCCACTTCCCTTCCCCTCCGCTGGCTTCTGTCGTTTGTCACTTGCCCAACCCCACAGGCATTTAGAGTTTGTGATCTCTGGTGAGAAATATTGCCATTGTGACTGTACGAGGTACTATAGAAGGATCGTGATAGAGATAGCACATCTCCCAAGTAAGAGAATGTAACCATTTTAAATTGGAAGTTAACTCGTGTTCACTAGCGCCTCTTTCTTGGACTAATTGTGTCAATTTGTAATTTCTCACACTAAGTTGTTTCTGTTACTTGCTACAACAAAAGTCTTAACTAAAATTAGCACTTTACCTCAGAATTATTTGGCACCTTATAAATGCTAGTCACTGGAGAAGTAGAAATGAAAAAGGCACAGATGCTGCTCTTAAGAAACCAGCATTCTAGCGGGAAAGATGGACAAGCAGATGATGACCACAAATGAGGTAAAACCTATGTGGAGCTGATGCACAGGATTCTAAGAGGGTGCCAGTCCATGCTTTGGCTGAGGGGAGGAAAGAAGCTAATGGATGGTCTTACCAAGGAGGTGATACGCAAACGGTCTTGTACTGGAAGGACGACGTGTCCAGAGGAAACAGCGTTTGTGGAATCAGAGTGCTTGGCAAGGTTCAGAGGATAGCAGTGGAGGTGACTGGCTGGGACACAGGATACTGAGGACCAATAACAAGGAACAGAGCAGGAGAGCAGGAGCAACCGGGTCTCTTGAAACTTCACGGAAGATAGCTTTAAGTGCCGTCTTCATGTGCTTGTTTTCTTTTTTCTTTCAGCAGCCCAAAGGGAGCCTTCAGGCACATGACACATCGTCACTGCCCACAGTCATTATGAGAAACAAGTGTAAGTAGCCCGACCCACCTCCCGAAACTCCTTTTTGACTCTGGTTCAGGATGTAAGCGTACTTTGTAATGTTCACTTGTTATTCTTAATGAAGATTTGAATACCTATTTTGTGGTAAGTTAGAGAAGGCTACAGATTCATCGACTAAAAGCTTAACATTCTACCATCAAACTCTCCTGGAAGGTTTCTAGAATAGTGTGTGTATTGGCTTAAAAGGCAGCACCTTAGCCCTGTGTATGTAAGCAAGTGACCCCATGCATCTCAAAATTCCTCTTGAGTGAGTTGACAAGTATACTTGCTTATAGTGCCTCACGGTTGCATGAATCAAATTTGAGATCTTGCTTATTAAACTTATGTAAACTGTGAGGTTGCATAAATAGTTCATTTTTTTTTTTTCAAGGACTTCAAGTGGTACCCAAAATTGAGCAAATCAAGCTCTCCTGTTCACGTCAAGCAGTCTTCGCCAGCCTGTGCAGGGCTCCCCTCGGGTTTTACCTAACGTTTTTCCTTTTTCATGTTCCATTCCCTGTCTCATTCCTTCCCCTCCTTAGTGTCCAGTGTCATATAGTTAGTGTGTATCTTTCTTCTCTGCCGTATCATTAGAGATATGTCTATCTCTGAAAATATGTCTTACTGTTTTGTGTGTTGAATTTAAATCAGATGATAAAACTTAGGTTTATCCATCCTGCTGCCTTTTTTTTCACTTAATATCATTTGGAGGTCTGTGCATGTTATTATATGTAAGCTGTTGTTTAAGACTGCTGCGTGGTATTCTTTCATAAACATCTACCACATTTAATTATCAGTGCCCTTAGAGACAGATGTCTGAGTTGTTTCCAACTACTACCATAAATAATGCAGAAATGAATGTCATCTTAATTGGCTCTCTGGAACCCTGTGTGAGATTTACCCTAAGGCCGTGTTTTTCAAAGTGTAGTTCCTAGATCAATCAGGAGTGCAGATTCTTGGGCCCTACCTAGACCTGCTCAATCAGAACTTCCAGAGGTGGAGCCCAGTGATCCGTGGTTGAGTAGATCCTTCAGGTGATTCTGATGCGCGCGCAAGCTTGAGAAGCACTGCTCTATAGCTCATTGCTCTGAGTCCTGCCGATGGCTCCAGAATGGCTGTCCCAGGCTCTGCTCCCACAGAACAGCGTGCATCCCTTTAGCCACATTAAGTCCGGTTGTTAGCAAACTTTGCATGTAGATTACCAGAAGAGAAGTTTGGTCAGACTGCCACCCACTTTAATCAGTGATCCAGCCCATTCCAACACCTTTTACAAGTCTAATCTTCCCTAAACTCTTCTTTTCTGACACAATTGCTTGTTTCAGAAACCTGTTTTGTTTCACATCAGATAAGAAAGTGTTTTTTTTAATACCTCTTACATGCCAGGCTCTTTGTGTGTGTTACCTCTGACCCCCACAAGCATTCTTAGAATCTGTTTTACTCACTGAGGCAATGTCGTGGTTAAGAGGACAGGCTGGGCTCAGGTTGAGTGGATTTGAGTCTCAGCACCACCACTTGATAGTTGTGTGACCTTGGACGTTTACTCATCCCTCTGGACTTCATTTGCCCCCTTTGTAGAAGGATGATAATAGTATCAGAGGGTGGGAATCAGGTTTCTAGAGTCATACCTATAAAGAGGTTAGCAGTAGGCCTCCTTAAGTGTTAGCTTTTGCTGCTATCATCCTCATCCCAAATAAGGAAACTGAGACTCAGAATGTTAAGTACCTTACCTGGGTAGAGTACAGATTGGTTTCAGACAAGAAGAAGCTGTTCTTTTCCGCGCCCTGTGCTGCCTTTTAGATACAAGTTGTTCGTTATGCCTTTCAGGCTCTGCACAACGTGACCTCATTCTCCTCCTCTAGCCTTTTCACTGGTCCTGCTATGCGTCCTCCACTTAACTTCTTCCCTACTTGTTATCGCCTTTTTACATTAATACCACATGATTATTTCTGTCTTTATTTGTACAGTTCTCCTCATCAGAACGTCCTCTTTTCCTTCCGACCTATCCACATCCGTACCATTCTTCAGAACCAGTGTTTCCTCCTCCATCAGAGTTTATCTGCCCACCGACTTCCCTTCTGAAACACGGAGGATATGCTCCAGGATCTCGACACTTAAGCATATTCCCTTTTCTGCCAGCTGCCCATCTTCTCCATTGGGCAGGGAGCACGTCTCATGCTCCTCGTGCTTCCTGCAGGAAGGGTCTGCTTGTGTTACGGTGCAGCATGTTTCTGGTGTTTATTGTATCACCTTCTTCTAAATAGAATTTGGATTGGAAATTAATGGTTTTATTAATTTTTATTAAGTCAAAAACATCCTGAAATGCAGTGAAGTCATAACAGCCACCCTAGTCGTATTTCCTTCAGCTCCTGACACTCCTGGGGATAGACAGCTCATTGTCTGGGGCAGGAGCTCAGTTACCAAGGAAAAATAATTTGTTACCTAGATGCCAGTGACCACTTTAGCATAAAATTAGAGCTCTGGTTTCCTCCTTGGTCGTCTTCAGGAGAAATAAGCAGTATGCGAACAAACTAGCTGTGTGACACTAAGAAAGTGTTGCGTTTTCCTCTTCCGTGAACTAAAGGAATTGGTCAGAATCTGTGTTCTCAAACAATGTGTCAAAGAATCACTTGGGGAGCTTGTAGAATGTGTAGACTGCCAGGTCCCAGCCCAGAGGACAAGAAGGGCAGAGAATTTGCGTGTCAGACAAGCTCCTCAGATGTTTCTTGGTAGGTGCTCCCGACGAACGCCGGCCTCAGTTATCGCTGAAGTTCCTTTCAGCCTCAAAATTCTTTCAGCCTTATTTTATTTTATTTTTTGCTTTAGTTTAAACTTTTAGAATATAATATTTTCACATGATTCTGTATCCTCATTGCCTGATTTTCATCCCACCCCACAGGTAGCCACTCTTCTTAGTTTTATATATTTCTTCAAATTTATTTATTAAAATAAATACCAGTTTGGGTTATTGATTTTTCTTTTTTTCAACACGAAGGATAGTCTGTTGCACCTTGATTTTTTTCCCCCCTTAATATATTATCTTAGAGATCTGTGGTGGTTCATGGAGAGTGTCCTCATTTTTTTAAAACTATACAGTATTCCAATGTGTGATGTACCATAATTTATTAATTGATATTCTTTAGATACTCGTTTATTTTCAGTCTTTTGCTATTACCAACAATGTTGCATTGAATAACTTTGAACGTGTATCATTTCAAACATATACAAGTAGATAGTAGAAATAAACATCTTAAAATGGAATTACTGGATCAAAGTGTATTGAAATGTACAAATTCAATAGATACTGCCAAATCGTCCTCCATGGAGTTTCTATATCCATCTGCACTCCCAGGGCAAAATCTATTATATGCTTCTCTTTGCCAGATGTGTCAGTACTGGGGGGTATGGATGGACGATGCTTCATTTGGTCTTCTCTCTACCCTTATAGCCTCGCAGCCCAAGGAGCGCCCTCGATCCGCAGTCCTCCTGGCTGATGAAACCACCGCAGCCCCCATGTTTACTAACAGACGGTCCCAGCAGAGTGTCTCGCTCTCCAAAAGTGTCTCCATACAGAACATTGCTGGGTAAGTGAGCTTCAAAGATGGTGCAGTTGACTTCTGGGTGAAAAGAGCATAATAATCATATCATTTGACAAAAAGATTCTTCTTTTAGAAAAAAATGTATCAAATAATGGGATGGTGCACAACTGAGCAATACAGATGAGGAGAATGAGGATTCCATTTTGATGCCCTGTCATGACCACCATTTTGTAACAAGGATCCCCTCTAAACACCATAATCGAGCCAGGTTGTCCTACACTTTTGTACCTGATCCGCCCTGCTTTTAAATTTAGACCAAAATAAGAAATGGGAATAGGAAAAAAGATGATTTAATTCTGAGTTTTTGGTTGCAACCACTTATGTTTTCAGATGTCACACTTTTTTATTGGTCAGATGAACTTGGTTTTTGTTACTTTTTTAATCTGTTTTCCATTTTTGCCTCTTGACTCTTAAGTCAGTTTCTTGGGAGTGAATAATGGACCAGTTGTTACTATTGGGTTCCCACTTACTCATTTGCACTGAGTTTGTTTTGTGGTCCCTACGAAAGTTGCCGTGGCCCCTGCCTGTTGAGGCCTCAGCTGCCACGTGGTTACCGCAGGGCTGATTGTGATGTTGGTGGCTCCTTTGGGTGAGATGCCTGCCTTCCCATCAAGTACAGAAGTCATCTCAGATGTGGGACTCAGAACATCTCTTGTATCTCTCTTAACCTAGGCCGGAGGAAAATGCTTAACTAAACGATGCAGATCTCCTCTTGTCTGTATTTCCTAACCTCTCTCCTGGCTAATGTTTCCTCCTGCTTAAAAAAAAAAGATTTCAAGTGTTTTTATTTTGTTTTTTGTCTTTGCGTTGTCATTATCCAAAGACCTTTTCAAAGTTATGTTATCAAAATTTGTTTGCATTATGACTTTGAAAAGTTGGTCTTTAAATAAAATTCAAAGTTTTAAATGGCTCTAGCTTGCTTTTGTATCACACCACACATTGATTGGGAGCCTACTGTGCTGGCTGGTGAATTGGGGTGGAGAAATTTCAAAGCATAGTTCATTATGAGTGCTCAGTCTATAGTTACTTAGGGAAGGGGGGAAAGTGTAGTGGTTAAGACGGTGAGTTTCAAACAGAGCAGTTGCTTACACAGTGTGTGTACCGTCAGAGGGAAGAGTTCTCCTTGCTGCCTATCATTAAAAGAAAAATTCAAGGCTTAAAAAATTTAAGTTTTGGGGCTGGCCCGGTGGTCCGGTGGTGTTAAGTTAGCACATTCCACTTCTTGGTGGCCCGGGGTTTGACGGTTCGGATCCCGGGTGCAGACACGGCACTGCCTGGCAAAAGGCCATTTTGTGGTAGGCATCCCACGTATAAAATAGAGGAAGATGGGCATGGATGTAAGCTCAGGGCCAGTCTTCCTCAGCAAAAGAGGAAGATTGGCAGTAGTTAGCTCAGGGCTGATCTTTCTCGAAAAAAAAAAAAAAATTTGAGTTTGCATTGATGTTAAATGTCTCCAGCCTCCATTCCTAGTTGCTGTTGCATGTTGCTGGGTGCCCGACATGAGTAATTTGTCTTGAGTCATTGTGGCACTTACAACCAGCTGCCACTGTGGAGTTTTGCAGGTACTCACTTAAGAACGCAAACCATGACTTATCAGAATGTATTTGACAGGATGTGCTCCTTTTTGTCCCCAGAGTTGGCCATGATGAGAACATATCAAACACCTGGAAATTCTTGTCTCATTCAACAGACTCACTAAATAAAATCAGCAAGGTCAATGAGTCAACAGAATCACTTACTGATGAGGGTAAGAGGAACTTACAGCCGATATTTTAAGCATCTGTAGAGACTGTGCCATTATCTAGAATACACACGTTAATGGAATAATATGCCTGCCTCTTCTTATTCCTGTGAAGATTCTCTAAATTGTCTGCAAAGCCTCAAATGCTTTATAATTAATTGGTAATCAGACTTATCCAGTTGTTAGCTGGTTGTCCTTTGAAGGGTATTACTGATTCTAATGTGGTCATACTTGAGTACAAACTGCTTTTCTTCCCCTCGACTTTTGTACACAGTCTGTTCCAGCTCTCTTGGCACAGTTATAAGCCTGCTCTCTTAAACAAGTAAAGTTCCCAGGTCCCTTCCAGTTCCTACCTCACGTAGGAATCATGTCTTAATCATGTTTGATTTATGTGATGTTTGTCACTCTTAACCAAGGTCCTGAATGTAGAGTGTGTCACTCCCAAACAAGAAATGATTCTTTTCCAGTCCTGGAATATGCATTCTATGAATATTCCAGTATTATGTAATGCAGAGTGTCTGTGCCTTACAAAAGTATCACCCCAAGGCAAGTCCAGCGTAGGCTCTGGAGAGGTCACAGACCCAGATTCTGATACTGATGTTTCGATATTTTGAGGAGTAGGTACAGACATGAATGAAGGCCAGTTAATGGGAGACTTTGAGATTGAATCCAAACAGCTGGAAGCAGAGTCCTGGAGCCGAATAGTGGACAGCAAGTTCCTGAAACAGCAGAAGAAGGATGTGGTCAAACGGCAAGAAGTGATTTATGGTGAGACTCTTCCGTTGCTCTGCTAGTACTCGGTTTGCATTGTCCAGCATTTTAATCAGGTGATTGATTGGGCTATGGGAAGTCAATTTTCAAATATGTAGCATCTCGAAGAATTTCATTAAAAACTTTGAGGTGTAGAGACATAATTTTATTTCTGTCCTTTTCTCTCTCTTTAAAAGTATGAACATCTTATGTTAAATGAGTGCTTATTTATGCAATAGTCCTAGAAAGAGATCCTGTGACAGTACTGTTTAATTCCTCGGCTCCACTGGAAACTAGACCAAATGCAAGTCCTTTCTAGGAAATAGGAACACAGTGAATTGTGAAAGGTTTTGAATCCAATGAAGACCACTTTGGAAACCACCATTTCAGAGTGATGGAATCCAGTATGCCTGTTACAAAATAGTAGTAGTCATGTGAAAAATAGAGGAATAAAGTGAAAACACTGTAGGGAAAAGATAGCTGTTGACCCAGTTTTAAATTTAAATTGGGCTCCAAATAGCCTGAGGACTAACTTGGGCTCTCAGCAGCGGCAGGTGGTCTTTGAGGGGGATCCTTGTACAAGAGCATTCTGACCGTTAAGCTTTGTCCCTCCTTCAGAGTTGATGCAGACAGAGTTACATCACGTCCGCACGCTCAAGATCATGAGCGATGTGTACAGCCGGGGGATGATGACGGACCTGCTCTTTGAGCAGCAGATGGTGGAAAAGCTGTTCCCCTGTTTGGATGAGCTGATCAGCATCCATAGCCAGTTCTTTCAGAGGATCCTGGAGCGGAAGAAGGAGTCGCTGGTGGATAAAAGCGAAAAGAACTTTCTCATCAAGCGGATGGGGGATGTGCTTGTAAATCAGGTGAGCAGTGGGCAGGCGCTCAGCTGCTTCTCATACACAGTGGAGACAGAAGTGAAGCTGTGGGGCGCGGCCGCCGTGCACCCACACCTCCACTCTGCTGTTTATTTTCCATGTGAGCTTAGGCAGGTTATTTACACTCGCCGAGCCTCAACCCTTTTCTGTAAATGAGCACAGTAGATTCTCTCTCCTAATGTTATTCTTAAAAGTTAAAAGGAATATATATATATATAAAGTACCCGGGTTATATGGTAGATACTCAATCGAAGTCAGTTTTCCTTCTTCAGAAACAGTATAGTTTAAGAAATCAAAAAACATTTGTTGGAAGTCTCTACTTCCCCCTGTGCCTCAAATCACAAGGAACTCATTTATCTAAAAACCACCCGAGCATAGAAAATTGAGTGAGAAACTATCTGTAAAATATTTCATAAAATCTATCTTGTTGCTGATATTTTCATCAAGGATTTGCTATGGTTTCAATCCTACTCCAGAAACAATTTAGCTAAAAATTACTTTGATACTTTCAGATGTGTTTGTCATAGACCTTTTTTTCTTTTTTCTTTAAGATTGGCACCTGAGCTAACAACTGTCGCCAATCTTTTTTTTTTTTTTTTTTTTTTTGCTGCTTTTTCTCCCCAAAGACCCCCAGTACATAGTTGCATAGTTTAGTTGTGGGTCCTTCTGGTTGTGCTATGTGGGACGCCACTTCAGCATGGCCTGACAAGCAGTGCTATGTCTGTGCCCAGGATCTGAACCAGTGAAACCCTGGGCCACCGAAGGAGGGCGTGAGAACTTAACCACCGGGCCCCGGGGCGAGCCCCCATAGACTGTTTTTAATGTTTCTTTTTAAAATACTGTTTTTGAAAAAAACGTTGCTAGAACTTTCACAGGCAGGGGGTCATAACGTCGCATCTGACCGGCTCTTTTCCCTGGCAAATCTCTGCCTCAGTATAGAAGCAGAGGCTTCATTGCTGGAACATTTGCCTAAGAATTTAGAAATTTTGTCCTTTCCTTGTATTCCGGAGCCCGTGTGCCTCACCTCAGTAATTCATTAGTCCATTCATTCATTCATCTTTCAAGTATTTCCTGGACATCTACTACATATCAGGTGGAACCACAAAGGTGAAGATGGCTTAGCCCCCTGCCTCACGGAACTCATGTTCTAGGAATAAAAATAGGTGTGTTAAGAAGTAAATGCCAATGCTTTAACACAGGTGTCTGCAACAGATGGGCAGGGCCTCCACGTGGGCTTGGTCAGCTCCACAAGTGAGGCCCACCCTCCCCAGACCTCCCCTCCCCTGGCGTCTCCCACGTCTCTTTCTTGCCCCTCCTCTCTGCCCTCAGACCTGTGCAGGCTCCTCCTCTAACCTTGACTGGTAGTGTTTGTAGCTCCTTTTGTCTCTGCACGTCCTCTAGTAAGATCTTAGATGGCAGGATTCGTGGCTTAGCCCCTTGGGGTCCGTTTGCTGCTTCTGTGTGCCAGTGCTGGAATCACCCTTGTCGGGCACTGGCTCCATGGCAAGAGCAGGTCACTTAAAACATCTCTGCCTCGGCTTCTCTTTTGGTAAAGGGGAAAAGGAAAAGCTACTCTGAACCTTTTTTCAAGCTTTTTGGTAAGGATTGACTTGTGTTGCCTCCAGAGATCTTTAGTACAGTGGAAATGGATGCTTAGCAGGTATCCTATGAACCACATATGGAAACTCAGCGGTTTACCCCGGAGGGAGCAGATCTGCAGGGGCACCACTGAGATTGCACACACTGGGGCATGATTTAAGGGCCGTGCAGAATTGTTAGAACTGCTGGCCTGGGGTGAGTAAGGTAAACAGCTTTATTGAAATATAATTTGTATGCCATATAATCCACCCATTTAAAGAATACAGTTCAGCGGTTTTTAACATATTCATGGAGTTGTGCAACCATCACCAGTCAATTTTAGAACATTTTTATCGTGCCCCCTCCCCGGCAACAGCCCCAGCCCCAGGTAACCACTTATCTACTTTCTGTCTCTGTGGATTTGCTTATTCTGGACATTGTATATAAATGGAGTAAAACAATATGTAGTCCTTTTTGATTGATTCTTTTCACTTAGAATAATGCTTTTAAGGTCTGTCAATATTTCAGCACGTATCAATAGTTGATTCCATTTTATGACTGAATAATATTGCATATACACACACCGCATTTCATTGGTCCCTTTATCCTTTGATGGACATTTGGGTTGTTTCCGCTTTGGGGCTTTTATGAGTAATGCTGCCATGAACGTTCGTATGCAAGTTTTTGTGTGGACATAGGATTTTATGTGTAGGACTGGCGTTGCTGGGTCGTCCAGTAACCCTGTGTTAATTTTTTGAAGACCTGCTCGACTGTTCTCCAAAGCTGCTGCACCGTCTGACCTTCCTGGGGTTCATGAGGAAGCACTCTCGGGTTTTACTAAAGGACTAGAAACCTTGGACAAAATGATAATAACAAGTTTAGCACCCTGATCTTTGCATCGCCTCTGTTCTCTCTGCTCTGCAGTTTTCGGGTGAGAACGCAGAACGCTTAAAGAAAACGTACGGCAAGTTCTGTGGGCATCACAACCAGTCTGTAAACTACTTCAAGGACCTCTATACCAAGGATAAGCGTTTCCAGGCCTTTGTAAAGGTATTGACGTGAAACATGGAAGCCCCCATCATTGTCCAGAGCTTTGTGTCCCTCTCTGTCTTAGGTAGAACCTTTTTCCTCAGGTATTCCTGACAGTCCTTTTACTCCCTTGCAGAAGAAGATGAGCAGTTCAGTTGTAAGAAGGCTTGGAATCCCAGAGTGCATATTGCTTGTAACCCAGCGGATCACCAAATACCCAGTTTTATTCCAAAGAATATTGCAGTGTACCAAAGGTGAGTGTCCCTTTTCACTCGGTCTTATGTGCCAACGGCCTGTTTCCTGTGTGTCCAACAGCACTAGAGACCTCATAGAAGACTGCTTTCAGGCCTGGCAGGTCTGGAAGAGATCCTGTGTTGTATCCCAAAAAAAGTTTTCTTGAGTGAAAACTTGAAATGTTACGTCGGTAGACATAGGGTGGATGGTAGCAGGAAGGGAAGGAGCCACTTACTGTCTCGTCAAGAGCGCAGTGACCTGCACAGCTGCTCCCGTATCCGTAGACGGGGCATAATTCCCAGCAGTGCTTCCGTAAGGGCGAGAACTGCTGCTGTTTCTATTTACTCAGTACTTCTCTCAGCTAATCCTGCTCCTAGGCAAGTTACCTTAAAGATTAGGTAAAACAAAGACGTAAATTAAAAACTTGTTGCTCTTCTCCCTCCCTGAAAGTGTTTGGTTCCTTATACTTTAGAATAGCGTATAATTAATTACATGTTATCTCTGTCATTGAAAACATCGAACTTTATTTAGAATTAAGCCTATGACAAAGAGAGGGATGGATGCATGACCTTTGACACACTGGCTTTGTTCTGAGCGCATGCCCACAAAGGGAAATGATGACACGAAGCAAGACGGTAGGATTCCCCCTTCTACCCTTGTCTGGAAGGACCCATTAAAAACAGAATTATTCTTCCCTCCTAAGACAATGAAGTGGAGCAGGAAGATCTAGCTCAGTCCTTGAGCCTGGTGAAGGATGTGATTGGAGCTGTAGACAGCAAAGTGGCAAGTTATGAGAAGAAAGTACGTCTCAATGAGATTTATACGAAGACGGACAGCAAGTCGATCATGAGGATGAAGAGCGGTCAGATGTTTGCCAAGGAGGATTTGAAGCGGAAGAAGCTCGTGCGGGATGGGGGTGTGTTTCTGAAGAGCGCCACAGGAAGGTTGAAAGGTGAGGCTCCCTTTTGTTCTAAGTGTGTGCCAGAGAAGAGCAGCAAATCCAGATGTTCTTGTTAGAAATTCACCATCAGAGTCTTCCTAGGGAGCCCATACGCAAATATCACACAGGAGCAACAGTCATGTAATCGTTCTTAATCTTGTATCAAAAAGGACCGGTCTGAGAGAGCTTACAAAATCATACAAAATACAGTAAGATGACACGGAAATGATGCAGGCAGGGAGAATGGAAGAAAAGATTTTTAAAAACAAAGCAAAAGACGAGACTAATACAGAAACACAAGCTGTTAAGGAGAGCGTATTCTCCCTACGAGAGATGGGCAACACGTTTTGGGCTTGGGGTCTAGGGCAAAACAGTCGGAAGGAGGGAAACCCCATCAGATAGGCAGTTCACAGAGTCTGTAAGATTGAAAATACATCCCTGTTCTGAAGAGATGCTAGAGGAATTTCAGCTCCGGAGACCTCAGAGAAATGTACATTTAACTCACATCAACTAGCTGTGTTGTTTAGCTTTATGATATTCATATCTTTCATCTTTCTCTAAGCAAAAGAGATCGTAAAAGATACTCATTTTCCCTTTGGTCTTAAGTTTTACCTTTCAAGCGATCAGCTGCATCAAGTTAGGAAAGTTATAAAGTTTGTTAATTCATCTGTAGATCTGATCTTTTTTTTCTTTTCTTAATAATTGTTCTCATCAAACCTGTACTCTCTGGGCCTATATGGTAGCTCCGACTTCCGCAGTAGCCTTGAGCACACGCCCTGCTCCCTGGCCTCGGTGAGCTGAGAACACGAAGCAGGCTAGCCCAGTGCTGTCCGCCCCACTGGCATAAAAGTAAGGTGGCTGAGCTTGCTGCTGCTCTCTTCTCTGAGGCGTAAGGACCACCGTAGGTGACCTGTGTCAGAGGGTACCCGGGAGTCCTGGGCTGGCGTCCCACCGTGCTTAGACCAGACAGTAAAGAAGTCCCAGGCAAGCAGATGGCTTCAAAGGGGACTGAGGCAGGGTACCCTACTGAGAAGTCGGGATCCGAACCAAGAGACTGTAACGAGGCCGTTGCTCTGCGGTGTGGTGGTGCCAGAATAGAGGTGTGGACTCAGGACAGGGGAAGGGGCAGGAGTGGCCCTCAGTTAAGTCTCGGAGGGTGGAGAGGAGGGTGTCGGCAGAAGGGGAGGAGTAAACGTGGAGCATGGAGGTAGAAGGGTCTGGCTCATCCGGAAGTCGGGCAGAGAGTGAGTGCCAGGGAGGGCTGGGGAATACGCCTGGAGACGTGGCCGTGGGCCAGGTTGTACAGGGCGCATGCTCCAAGACAGTTGATCCTGTTGATGGGGATGGACCAAGAAGGGCTTCGAAATGGAGGATTTGAAGCAGGAAAAAGATAAATCAGATGGTTCTTCGTACCTGACTGGGTGGTTTCGAGTGCAGCACGAGTGAGGGGAGACTGACAGAGAAGCAGGAGCAGCGCTGTTGCAATGACTGGGAAAGAGCCCGTCGGGCTCAGTTCTGGTAGAGGGTGTGAAAGGAACGACAGGATGACTTCAGAGAAAAGAAACATCCCACCCTGCCGCCGGCCAGGTGTGGGTCTCGGTGCTCCATGATGAACTTGAACTAGGTGGGCCCCGAGCCTCCCTCCACCCAGCCCCAGTGCTCTGTGCTGCTCCAAGACCCCAGTGGCAGACTCGCCACACTGCCGCGCCGAGACTGTCTTGAAGGCAGGCGGCCGTTCAGGAGCCCCGCCCTGTCCTGTAAGGACCTGGCTTCCTAGAGCTGCTGCTGCTGGAGCTCGCACTTGATTCTGTCCTTTACACAACTGATTATTTATTCATTCCCCAATAAAAACTAACAGATTCCAGCTGTGGGAATAAAGTGGCGGTCAATCCAATGGCAGGGCGATGGGTTTTCTGGCCTCAAGTGCCTCCAGTGGAGACAGCAGCTGGCATTGAGTCATTTCCACCCCAGGAGCTCGGGCCAAGAACAGCCAGTGCTGTGCCGGGCACCCAGTGAGGGGACACGACTGTTTTTTTCTGATCCACTGACACTGAGCATGCAAACTTCAGGATCCAATGAAGTGGAAATTTGTGTTTTAGAACTTTTTTTTTTTTTGGCAGACACCTGAATTATTTAAAAATAAACTTAAAAAAACCTGTGAAAACTAATGGTAGTGCATGGAAAAATTACTGTGGTCTGGGCTGGAAAACGAGACCTCCCTCGGAATCAGACGTCCTTGCCTCTTTTCTTCCTAGCTTTACAATGACTTACACAGACAGGGGATTCCTATTGTGGCAGAAGTGGTAGAAAAGGCCAGAAGGGGCTGGCCCACCTGGGAGGGGGCTGCATAAGATAGTTCCATTCTCTGACGAGAAGTTGCAGGCTCCCCTTTCCAGAGTCAAGAAGGTACAAAGGGCCCTGCCTGTTAGATCTCGATAGATGGCTCATCTCCAGAGACAGCACGCTCTGTCCTTGAAGGAGTAACAGAAAATGTCACTTAGTGCTCCTAAATTAGAGTAAGTGTCTGTGGCGTTCTTTTGATTCCTAGATCCCACTAGAGATGTTCTTTTGGGTTTTGTTTTGTTTTTGTTGAGAAGAAGAGAAGGCTGTCTCCGGGGTACAGAGAGATTGAGATTGAGGTTGACTGGGCTGGGGGAGCTGAGAGAAGAGCCATTGTATTCACGTGGACCCGTGAAATCACAGGGCTGGGTCTAGCCTTTCTCGTTCTCTGGGGAGGGTGGAAGAAATCTACCTTTCATTAGACTCAGATATTTTTATACATCACCTTTTGGCAGCTTTCCTGTCTGCCAACCCACGCCTTTCCCATTACTGTAATCAGAAGTTGAGAAATATTACAACCTGAGAATTTGTGGAATAGTTGCTATTTGGCATCTGTCAAAGTCCTGTTTTCCAACTTGATTCTTAAAGTATTTTATTCTTAAAATCTTGCCTTACGGCATATATCTTTCTAGAACTGAGTACTTAAACTTTTCCCAGACAAGGCTTTGGGGATAAATCCCATTTTAAAATGCCTCTACAAATCTACTGACCAGATCAGGATCCTGCAGAAATGTAAAGCTGTCGCCTTGGAGGAGGGCGGTCTCTGTCTGATTTGCCCTGTGGGGTGTGTTGCTGATGCTGAATTACCCTCCAATAAGAGCACTCAGGGAGGGCTCAGCTGTCAAGTGCTGATTGTTTTCTCTTCCCTTCCCCCTTACAGAGGTGCAGGCAGTGCTGCTTACTGACATTTTAGTTTTCCTTCAAGAAAAAGACCAGAAATACATCTTTGCGTCATTGGTAAGCTGAATTGCTAGTCTCTTCTGTTTGTGATTAATAGTATTCAAAACAGCCAGGGTACAGACTGAGTGTAAACACTGTATTATTGCTCTCTCACCCCCTCAAAATTAATTGACTCAGGGCAAATTCCTCTGAGTAATTTCTTACATACCCTCGCTCCAAATTATTTTTCTGTTCCCTCACAGTCCTTTTGAGAGTCTTGAACATTTGATCTAAAGTATCTTGCTTGGCTCTCTCTCCATTATGCCCCGTAAATTGTACTAATTTATTAGATTGCCATCCAGATTCTATGAAGAACCTAGAAGGATTCGTCATGTAGAAAACATGACGTTCATAGCTATAAATTAGCATTTCCTTTTTGGAAATCTTTTTCTGTTTGATAAAATAATGAGATATTTCTCATTATCTTAAATCTGTCATTGTTCGTTAAACCATACTTTTAAAAGGCATCTAGGGGCTGCCCCGTGGCCGAGTGGTTAAGTTCCCGCACTCCACTTTGGCAGCCCAGGGTTTCGCCAGTTTGGATCCTGGCATTGACAGGGCACCACTCGTCAGGCCATGCTGAGGTGAAGTCCCACATAGCATAACTAGACGGACCTACAGCTAGAATATACAACTATGTACTGGGGGCGGGGGGGGGGGGTGTTAGGGAGAAGAAGAAGAAAAAAAGGCATCTAGTCTTATCTTAGATCGCAGTTGTCCTTAAGAGTTAGAATGTTGTGTACATTTCTTATATCTGTCCTCTCCCCTTTTTCCAGGACCAGAAGTCAACAGTGATCTCTTTAAAGAAGCTAATTGTCAGAGAAGTAGCACATGAGGAGAAAGGTTTGTTCCTGATCAGTATGGGGATGAAAGATCCAGAGATGGTGGAAGTCCATGCCAGCTCCAAAGAGGAGCGGAACAGCTGGATTCACATCATCCAGGACACAATCAACACCCTGTGAGTTCAACCCCGCCCTCCAGCCTCCAGAGGCCTGGGATTCCATGACAGACTGGGCAGTGACCAGAGTAATTGACATCTGAGGAATTTCTTGTTTTGTTTTGGTTGTATTAGCAACAGAGATGAAGATGAAGGAATTCCCAGTGAGAACGAGGAAGAAAAGAAATTGTTGGACACCAAAGCCCGGGAGTTAAAAGGTAAAGCTGTTGGATGTGGTCTGAGGCCCCTCTCGTTGGTGGCGTGTCCGCAGTCACAGAACACAGCTAGTGGTTCCCAGAGTTGCTGCTGCTCCCAGGCCGGAGCTGTCCTGGCAGGCTCCCGAGAACACGGAGGTGAATAGCTTCTAACACAAGGGAAACCAGACCTGAGCCAACACGGGCGCAGGTGAAAAACAGCTGTAAGCGTGTGTCCATTACTGGGTCAAGGCAATGTTGATTCTCTTGTCTCAGTCAGTGTTCTGGGACCCTGGTGACGTTCTTTGAACTCTGTCACTGAAGAATTTGCCAAAATTCATGGTCCATCTAAGGTTAAAACAAGGAGAGAAAGGTACTTGCGGAAAAGCGTTTTCCAGTGAATCTGTTTTTCTTAGTCACCCTGCCTCTGCTGCACGTTCACAAATGAGTTATGAGGTGGTGTGGGGAGAAGTGTGCTTGTTGATGACGCTTGGCCATGATTTATTGAGTCCCTACTGTTGCGTGTGGTCTTGTCGACATCCCTGCAGGACACGTACACAAGTGCCCACTGTGCAGGAGAGAGTGCTGAGGCCCACACGGCAGCAGCCCAGGGTCACATGCACAGCCCGCAGCAGAGTCAGCGCTGCTCCCCATCCATGGAAAGGCAGAGGCTGTGCTCTTCTCTCTTTGCTGGTGCTTACTGAATGTTCTGGGCAAAGACTGTGCCTTGGGTCAAAATAAGGCCCAGAGTCCAATAAATGTAAGCACCCAAGGAGTTTAGTTGGCCCTTCAAGCTAGACAGAGTGGCAACATTCTATTTCAGTGAGGAAAAAGCAAAGATGGACAGATGTCAACAGGGACCAGAGTTAGGTCAGATTGATCGGCCCGTGGTCAGGACGGCAGGGGTGAAAACGTCCTTCTTTTAACCTGTAGGAAGCGCTGGCCAGGCGTGTGGCTGGGCACTCAAGATGCAGAGATTCCTCCAGCGGAGTCCCTGCCGTTGGGAAGCTCACACTCTAGCACGGGAGACACACCTACATGACGGGCCACCGGGTAGCTGACCAGACCGTAGGCACGTTTGGAGCGTGGGGAACTTCCAGCCCCACCTGTGGCGAGTCTCACAGAAGCTGACACATGGGCCACATCTGAAAAAAGTTACTTCACCAGATAAGAAGAGTAGTTTATGGAAGGTGGAAACGGACTTGAGGCGTCTGCCAAGGAATGGCAGGTGTCGTCTGTCTGGGGGGTCAGGATTAGGAGATGGGAGACTAAGCTGGGACGACACCAGGTCTTAAAAAGTAACAGGGAATGATGTAATTCTTTTAGCAGAATTTAAACTTAAACTTTTAAAATCAGTATTGAAGCCAATTGGAAGAATTGCTTGAGAAGTGGGGAAGCCACTGGGAGCGGAAAGACCACCTGGGAGACTGTAGGATAGGGTTCTGGGCTGGAGAGGGGATGGTTGTGAGGAAGAAATGCGGAAGCCATGTGGGTGGTGGGGCAAGTGAGGAGAGGGCTCTCTCCCAGGTCTCCAGGTGGGTGCACTGGAGGACGAAGATGATGTTGATGGAGGAAGAGAGCATAAGCTGAAGGGAAGAGGTGGCTTGGCAAGAATGGAGAAAAGAGGTTTCCAACATGCTTGAGAGCAGGACATCTAAGTGGAGGTAGCGTCTTGACAGTGGGACTCAGTGGTCTGGCCCCCCAAAAAGTAAGTAGGATTTGGGATGCTTTTTGTGAGTTGTCAGCACATAGGAAGGAATTGAAGCCGTGGGAGTGAACGAGCTCCCCAGGAGGAAAGTGTGCAGATATGGAAGGCAGCCAAGGATGGAGCCGAGGGGGGAACCCACATATTCCATTGCAGATGGCAGGTCTGTAAAGTGCCTTGAGAAAGAATGGTAGGAAGAGAACCAATGATGTCCTCAAAGCGAGAGAAGAAGCACTTTAAAAAGGGGGGAGGAATCATCCACGCTGGAAAGGATGGAATAAGACCTCACAGGATTCAGTAATGAAGGGTCACTGTGGAAAGAGCAGATGCAGAGCGACGGGCAAAGGCCAGGAAGAGGGGACGAGAAACAGACAGGATGCAGAGGAGTGGAGACAAAGAGCAGCTTGTTACGTCAGAAAGTCCCATGTTTGCCTAGAAAGATCCAGATAGTTTTCCAGGTAGAAATGACAGAGCAAAAACTTGATGCTGCCTTCATGATGGAAAAGAAAGGCGGGGAACAAAAACGCTTTGTTCTGTGTTGTCCCACGAGCTACCACAAGGTGGCGATGGTGTCCTATTCATCTCAGCGTACTACCGCCAGTCAAATCCCCTGACCCTTTCTCCGTGCACCTTGCAGAGCAACTTCAGCAGAGGGACCAGCAGATCCTGCTCCTGCTGGAGGAGAAGGAGATGATTTTCCGGGACATGACTGAGTGCAGCACTCCCTTGCCAGACGATTGCTCCCCAACTCACAGCTCTAGAACCCTCTTCCGCTCCAACACAGAAGAGGCTCTCAAAGGAGGCCCCTTAATGAAAAGCGCCATAAATGAGGGTAATTCAAATTGCATCCTCTTCTCCTCTTCCCAGAGTGGTTTACACGCCGATGTTATCTACCAGGTTTTACTCTTTTATTGTAAAATAAAGCACAAATACAGATAACAACCCAAAACAAATATTTCACTTCAATAAATTATCAAGTGGGCATCCTTGTAAGCACTAGCCAGGTCAAGAAATAAAATGTGACCAGACACCCCCAAAGCCCCTCCGCATGTCCTGTCCCGTCAGAGCTCCCTCCCTCCGTCCCTCCCACCCACAGGAGCAGGTACTGTGACTTGCACAGTCGTCGCTTATGTTGATGGTTTTATGGCCAAGTGCCTATTCGCAGACAGTGTGGTTTAATCTTGCTCGTGTTTTTTGATATGCCGTTTAAGATTCTTAATTTACAGTCCCCTGCACATCCCTTTCTTTTCTATACAGTTTAGCTTTGAAGAATCTGAGCTTTTTGACCTGTGGAGTTTCTCATAGTTCGGATTCCATTCGTGCAGTGGTTCTGTTCTTCTGTCCTCTGGTTCCTTCAGATGCACAGCTGGATTCAGAGGCTTAATTACTCAGACTTGACCTTTGGCAAGCTCGTAGTGCTGTTCTTGTAATGTTGTGCTCTTTCCTCAGGAGGCACAAAATAGCTAGTTGTCTCCTTTTGGTAACATAGGAAAAGCTGAATAAAAGGATAAATGCTTGATTTTTTCCCCCCTTTATTTACTAGGTTTCAAGATAGTTATTTTATGGCCATCCTTTGAAGGTGACCAGTACTTTTAAAATATTATCACAGACTCATGAATTCAAACATAGTGTTGCATGGGTTTCAAATCTTTGCAATTCTTATCCTTATTAAAAGTTCAAAATGTCGTGTATTTGCCAGTGAGTGCCTCTCTGTTAGGCTTCTGAGTCCTTTTGACATGACCCTCATGTTCTTTGAGAGCTGCTTGGGTATATTGAGATGTTCCAGGGTCATCTTGTTTTCTGCCTGGATCTGGAATCAGCTGTTCCTCTAAGAAGCTCTGGTTTCTTTTACTGGGAAATGATATTTCAGTACCACAGTCTGGGCACTAACGGTGGGCTCCTGGGGTTTTCACTGTTACTAGGTTGAGCCTTTTCAGTGGACAGCCTGGGGGGAATGTGTGTGTGTGTGTGTGTGTGTGTGTGTAGCATGGATTCAGGTTGTGGACTATGGGGCTTTTACTTAACCTCTTCTGTGTTACATCTGCGTCTCCTTTCTTCCACATTGTAGATCCTCAGTCCAAAGGATACATCATAGAAGTAGAAAATCCTGTATTTACTCACTGCCTTTGTCCTATCTGAACACACATGACAGTGTCAGAATAATAATACTAATATGACTATCACCGTGATTCTTTTTTTTGTGTGTTTTTTTGGTGAGGAATATTGTCCCTGAGCTAACATCTGTGCCAAGCTTCCTCTGTTTTGCATGTGGGACGCCACCATAGCATGGCTTGATGAGCAGTGTGTAGGTCTGCGCCCAGGAACCAAACCTGCAAACCCTGGGCTGCCGAAGCGAAGCGTGCAACATTAACCACTATGCCACTGGCCTGGCCCCACCTTGATTTTTATATACTGTCTCCATTCTCCCTTTTTCTGTTTTTCAAACAGTTGTACTTTGTCCACTGTCAGCTTATAGCTGTCCCTCACACACAGTACCCTCTCATCTTTAGCCCTGACCTATAGTCTCCATTCTCCTGGAACCACAGCCAGGTCTTAGGTCAGTGTGGCTAGTCATTTTGGATGTCTGAAGCGTATTCTTTAGAAGTCTCAGGAAAGCCTCGTGAGGATCAGATACCCTGAGTCCTTGCCTGTTGGTAATAGTTTGTGCCCTTTATACTTGGAAGTCTGTTCTGCTGGATGTAAAATCCTTAGTTCATATTTTCTTTCCTTGGGGATCTTAATTATTCTCAAATATGTTATTCGTTTTTTCCTGGCGTAAAGCATTGCTGTCAGAGTCTGCTCTTAATTAGATTTCCCCCATATAAGTCATGTGCTCTTTGCCTGGATGCCCAAAGGATTTTTTCCTCAATCCAAGTAGTTTTACTAGAATATGCTTTCGCGCTGGTCATTCTGGGTTGATGTTTTCAGGATTGCAGTGTTCTGTTTTGGGGTGTGGTTTCCGATTTTTCAGATTTCAGAGAAGTATTCTGAATGACCGTTTTTAGCATTCTCCTGTTCCCTGCTTTGTCTTCTTCAGGAACTCCCATCATCCGTTGGTGGATCGTCTTGGCCTGTCTTCAGTACTTGCTGCCTTCTCAGTACTTTCATGCCTCCATCTTAGTGATGTTTAAATATTCTTCTTTCACCTTCTGTTTTCTTAAGTCATTTCTGTTGGGTTTATTTGCTCCTGTATTCTAGTTACTTTTCATCTCTAAAATGACTCTTCTTTTGTTCACACTTGAGTTTTGCTGCCTCGTTTCTGTGTTTCTCATTCTGACCTGGGTTCTTTCCTGGCTTGTGTCATTTTCTTAATGTTATCAGGTCCTTTGTTTTATGGACATGCCCCTTGTCCTTTCTCTCACTTCCTCTTGTCTTAACTTTGTATGGGATTTGACTTGGATGTTTTCTGTTGCCCATTTTTATGTGAAATAAGTTTCTTAAATGTTTAGGTACGGATGGCTTTTCTCATGTCACGGGACTCTTGTGTTGTTTTCATGTAGTGTTTTTAAAAAATACGCTGGCTTGTCTAGTGAGAGTCCCTGCACGTCTCGTCCCTCCTTCCCTCTGAACCTCCCTCTGCCTCCGTCTCTGTTGCGCCTGCCCTGCTCAGTTTTATCCCCCTTCCAGCACTGTCTGCTCCCTGTGGGACTCTGCTCTGGAGAAGGCCGGGGGCTGGCCGGATTTGAGAATTCAGATAGAGACTGCTGCAGCCCCTGGAACCACTCAGTATGGGAGGGGCGGAGGCCCCGCCCATTTTAGTTGCTGTTCTCACACTGGCCCACCTTACTCTCCAGGGAGTTCCTTTTGGCTATTTTGGATGTGACTGCAGAAGCCATGCTTCTTCTGGTAAATTACTCGGCCTTCCCTGTGCTCTTTCAGACTTCCTAGGCCTCATGTAAATAAGGCTGAAGTTCTTTAATCTCTGAATTTCCTGTAGAATCCAACCAAAACTCATATCCTCAGCTGAAGTCTTTCTCTGAGCAAAGGAAGTCACCTAGTCACCCTCTGAAATTTTCGGATCATGCTCCCTGTACATATAGTGACGTTTTATATATATACGTAGACGTCTAGTGAGCACATACAGTGAGTGTATACAGTGAGGTTTTCTTTATCTCCCTGAAAGATGAGATGTCAGTTTTGTGTGTTTCCTTTTTTCCAGTGGAGATCCTTCAGGGCTTGGTGAGTGGCAGCCTGGGAGGCGCACTTGGGCAGGCTGTCAGCAGCCCCGTTGAGCAAGAAGGCACCGTCGGCCCTGTTTCCCTGCCCCGGAGAGCAGAGACCTTTGGAGGATTTGACAGCCATCAGATGAACGCTTCAAAAGGTGAGTGTGTTGGACTCGTGCTTTTCTAGGCAGCCCTTGGCTGTCAGACACAACGGAAATGATCTATAATTGGTAGCCCCCTCACCTCTGTCCCGTTCAGTCAGTTGTCGTCCTAGTGAGATCCTAGTACGTATCCAGCTGCTAAACGCTGAAGAACCGCTTTCAGTGTCACGCTCATTTTGAGTAATAAAAAGGTGTTCCTGGAATCTCAGCTAAGCTGTAGCCAAAGGAGTGATAATACTCATTTTTCCCTTTCTGCTTCTTGTTCTTCTGCATCAGTAAAATTATTAATAATCGCTTAGCTGCCACTAAATGGCTTCTGCTTTTTTAGCATTAATAGGATTCAGAAATGTCATATCCCTAAGCTGTGTATGTTGTATTCTTTTCTTGGATAATGTATTTCACAACTTCAAAAAAAAAAAAGACACTTTTTTTATTTGTCTAGGAGGTGAGAAGGAAGAGGGAGACGATGGCCAAGACCTCAGGAGGACAGAGTCGGATAGTGGTCTGAAAAAGGTATTTCTGTTTAAAATACACTGAGACCTTCTTGGTGCTTCCCTCTGAGTCCAAGTTGATCTTGTTTTGGATGTCTGAGTTGCTGTTTTTATTTCGTACTTTACTTGAAGAGGCAAGGACATTTTTACACAAACATAGTTAATAGTTGCGTTTCTCGGCCATTTGGCCTCTGTGGCTCAGAACACTGTGTGTACGTTCATGGCTCTGCCACAGCCCTGGCAGGACCAGTCTCATTAGGAGGTTTCTTTAAATGCCTCAAACCGACCTGAACCCATAACAAGGCTTCCGTACCAGCTTAGCCTCAAATTGTCATCACCCTGCCATGGGAGTCTGAGGGAGAGAGGGAAATGGGTAGCCACCGCATCATGGAGACACACAGGAAATATAATGTCTGCCTCAGGACCTTTTTATTTTAAATGCATGTTTTTTGTTTTGTAGGGTGGAAATGCCAACCTGGTATTTATGCTTAAAAGAAACAATGAGGTAAGGACATTATGAGCTGTTTAGAAGAACATGATCTTGTTGTAATTGCTGGTTAGGAATACTCACTTTTGTGCTGTCGTAACACACTGCCTCCTGGCTGTGATCTGTGCGTGAGCAGCAGTTGTCAGTTCCTTTCGCCTTGCCTTGTCCCCGCCCCAGCGCCTCAGGGGCTCTGCCGGAGTGCTGCCTGCTCTGCTGGCCTCTGCCTCTGTCCTGGAGAAGCCGCTTGCTTTCTCCAAGCATGCGCTGTGAAGCCCCTTCGGTGGTTTCTTTCTGTCCAAGTGCACTGAGGAGAATTTGTAGCCACTTGTAACACAAGCCTGGCGCCAAAGCCACAAGGCTGGAACAGGGCAGATTAATTTGTGGCTCACTCTGCATAGTAATTTCTTGCCCTCGAGGATTCAAGTTGAGTTTTCTTCTTTGAGCACTGCTTTTTGCTCAGTGTGGGTGTCACTCTAAAAGTTACCCGGCGTCCTCCTGGTTCGAGAGAGATTCAGCTGCGCGTCTTCCTCCCCCTCCTTCCGCGAGCTCCGCTTGTCCTGAGGGACACCTGCACTGCGTCCCTCAACTGCCCCTCTCCTGCTTCTTCAGGAATCCTCTTCGAGCTTCCTGCCACCTCCTGACTCTGAGCCTGAGCCTCGTGTGTGAGCAGACGGGGCGGTAGTGGCTTTTTAGGGGGTACCTCTTAGGATGCTCTTTGTATTTCTTCTTGCTTTTAACATAATATCTTAAATCCCCAAGGAGCTTTGTTTTGACATTTTTAATTAAGAGAACCTTTGCCTTTTTCCCCCTCAAACTCGGAAGGATACTGTTTTCTGGTTGTTGGTACAAAGTCTAAACAGTGTGGTATCCTGAAGGAGTCCCGTTAAATGAAATAAACCTGCGCTCGCGCAGACCTGCTCTGGATCTGCTGTGTGAAATTAGCTCTTAGTTGACTTTCCCACTTGGCGAAATTTACATTTAAATTTCCCTTCTATTTAGTGAGAAGAGTCAGGCAAGAAATAGTACAAGACCAGTGTTTCTCAGGCATTCCCAGCAGGGGTTATACACTCTGGATGCGCTATGGATGCTTGGCAGTCAGCTGGTCTTCTGTGATTTCCCTCTCTTTCTGTTTATTAAGAATAAGCTTAAATGAGGGGTGAAAGTATTCTCAGAAGAGCTAAGCCTGATAATTAAGTTTTCTGTGTTTTGTCTTAAGTATTATACAAGGAATACACGTTCATGGTAGAAACTTTGAAAGATGTCTAATAATGTAAAAAAGGAAAAAAATAAGTAAAGATAATCCCACCACTGAGAAATAACTACTGTTAAATATTTGATGTTTATATTTCCAGCCTTTTTTCTGTAACGTATATTTATATGTCTGTTTGTGTGACTATGAATAGTATAAAAATAGTTTTATACAATTTGTATCAGTACTTCCTGGAGCTTTGTGTCCTGCTTTTTTCTCTTAACATACGTCAGAAGCATTTCCCCAGGCCATATTTCATATTTGTACAAACCTGCTCTTTAACAACTGCATGTTATGATGTTGTCTACCATAATGTATTTAATCTTTCCAGTGGTTCTTTCTCCACTTTTTTGCTTTTGAAATGATGCAGCCAAGAGCATCCATGTACACACATTGATTATTTCCTCAAGATGCCAAACTGCCCTCTAGAAAGAAAGCTGTGCCATTTCACGTGTTACATAAATGCCCATTGGTATTTCTTCTTTCATAAATTGCTGGTTTGTGTTCCTAACCTGTTTTTCTACTAGGGTACTTCATTTCTTTTCTTACTGATCTCTGAGAGTCATTTTTATTTTTACTTATTTTTTCTAATTATTTTATTGAGGTCATAGCAGTTTATAACATTGTGAGTTTCAGGTGTACATTATTATTCATCAGTTTCTGTATAGTCTGCATCGCGCTCACCACAATAGTCTAATTTTTATCCATCACCATACATATGTGCCCCTTACCCCTTTCGCCCACCTCCCAACCCTCTTCCCCTCTGGTAACCACTAGTCTGTTCTTTGAGAGCGTTTTTTAAATCAAAGATTTTTCCGTTTGACTTTCTGTTGAGTTTGTCCTTTGCCTTCTAATTTTATATTTTACATAGTGGAAGTTGATGTGTGTGCGTGTGGGGTTTCTTGGATCGCTTCTGTCTTTGAAAACCCTTTCCTGGTTCAAGATCAGAAAACATTCTCATATTTTCTCATAGCCCTTTTATGGTTCTTTTTTTACACTTAATATTTCATCTGTTTGAATGTTTTTTGTGTGAACCAGCCCCAGCTTAATTTTTTCCAAAGATTTAGCCAATTTCTCCGAACGATTTGTTGAATATTCTTTCCTTCCCCATTGATATACTAATTCCTGTGGTTCGCTTCTGGGTTTCCTCTTCTGTTACACTGAGATATATGCCATTTTGTGCCACTTTGAGTAACTGGAGCTTTAGAATACATTTGAACGTGTGCTGATGTCCCTCCTGCTCTCGCGGGTGTTTTGTTTGTTTGATGCTGTTTGTTTTTCTTGGTGGCTGGTACCTGCGTATTCTCTTGGGTGCTTTCAGTATGAAAATATTTCACGCAAATGCGAGCACCTCATGTGTGTTCAGGAGGCTGAGTTGTCGGGTGACACGTGGTGTGGTGGGTTCTGAGGCTCAGTCCTGAGGTGACGTCTCCACTGTGTTCCTTTGGCAGCAGGTCGTCCAGAGCGTCGTCCATCTCCACGAGCTCCTCAGCTCCTTGCAGGTGCGTGCCTTTCGCTTTCATCCCTTCACTTACTTGTTTCCAGAAAACAGTGAAGAGGGTATTGTTGGCCTGGATCTTGGCAGTTTGCAGGTTGCTTATGGGTAAATGGGGCCCTCAGTCTGGAGAAGTCAGGCTGCCATATGAGAAAGGTTACAAGACGCCGTGGCTAGAGCATCCTCTCCTTCTGAGACTGGAATGGCTGAGCAGATGGGAGGCTGCGGGAGCTGTTGACGGCAGCACCACAAGGACAGAGGGTGCTACCAGGCACTGGGAGCATCATTTCAGTCTGGAAAGGGCTTTTACGTGATTCCGAGGTTCCATATGCCATAGCTCTGTGTGGTATTTGGATAGAATGGCCTTCCCAAAACAGCTGTTTAGTACTTTCTGGGAATTATCCTTAAATTCTGCTCACTTCTTTTCTTGAGGATCTAACCAATCCAATTCCTGCTTCTCCCCACCTCCAAAATATACACACTCCCCGCTACAGGCAATGTCAACAGCATGTGGCCAAGTTTAACCAAAAACCGAGAGTTCCTGCACCATTGACATTCCCACATACTAACCACAGGGGTCATCCTGGAGCATTTTCACCAGAACAGCTTAAAAATGAGGAGAGGGGTCCGCCCATGATGTAATGGTTAAGTTCGGGGTACTCTGCTTCCGTTGCCCAGGTTCGGATCCCAGGCATGGACCTATGCTACTGGTCAGCCATGCTGTGGTGGCATCCCACATACAAAAGAGAGGGAGATTGGCACAGATGTTAGCTCAGGGCGAATCTTCCTCAGCAAAAAAAAAGGGAGTTGGTAGTCTGTCACAGTGACTCGTTCCCCCCAGCACAGGGTCAGGAGGGCTCTTGAGGTTCGCTGTCCTCGGGACAGAGCTGCATTTCTCCCTCGCCGTGTCTCCCTCAGGGTGTGGTGTTGCAGCAGGACAGCTACATCGAGGACCAGAAGCTGATGCTGAGCGAGAGGGCGCTGGCGCGCAGCCTGTCGCGGCCCAGCTCGCTGGTGGAACAGGAGAAGCAGCGCAGCCTGGAGAAGCAGCGCCAGGACCTGGCCAACCTGCAGCGGCAGCAGGCGCAGCACGCGGAGGAGCGGCGGCGGCGCGAGCGCGAGTGGGAGGCCCGCGAGCGGGCGCTGCAGGAGCGCGAGGCGCGGCTGGCGCAGCGCGAGGAGGCGCTGCAGCGGGGCCAGCGCGACCTGGAGCGCGAGCGCACCGAGCTGCAGCAGCGCAAGGGCGCCTACCAGGGAGACCTGGAGCGCCTGCGCGCTGCCCAGAGGCAGCTCGAGAGGGAGCAGGAGCAGCTGAGGCGCGACGCCGAGCGCCCGCGGCCGCCGGAGCGGGACGTTGGCCAGGTACGCGGGGAGGCAGAGAAGGGCTTCCCGTTCCCACGGTCACCGCCAGGTGGCCGCTGGCACAGGGAGGAGCCCTGTGTGCTGAGCACCAGCGGAAAGTGGGCAGAGACACAAAGGCTGCTTTGCAGAGTCTTTTTTGCGCTGAAAGGGGGCAGGTGGGGAAGTGAGCATCTCTTTTTGCATCTCTGAGAGGCTGAGAAGGGAGAAGCTGGGATTTTGGGGCGAAGTCAGCAGGCGCTTGTTGCCGACTGGCACTTCCCTCCGCCACCCTGGGCTGGGCTGGGGGAGCCTCGGCGTGTCTGAGAGGGTCAGCCAGGCGGGGTTCAGGAGCACCCCCGCTGCTCTGCGCCACCTAAGAAATCGAATGGTACCCGCCTAAAGGAACCCGTATCCAGAGGGGGAGGCTCGCAGAGGAGAAAGGCCCCCCGGAGCGGGAGCGCTGCGCTCGCTGGACGGCAGTGAACGGCACTGGCACCCGCGTTACGGAAACAACCTGGGGTGGGCTCGGGGCGGCAGTGACCGAGCTGTCCCAGCAGAGGGGTGGGAGGCGGCCACTCTTGGTGGAGAGCGGTTCCTGCGGGGACCGCAGATGTCCGGGCTGGCTTGATCCCTGACCTGTCTTGCTTCCACGGATGAAACCTTTCTTATCTGTAGCTGCTCACTTAGATGGGAAGGCTTCCAGGTTTCCAGCGCGCTCACTCCAAGTTTATTTCAGCGACACTCCGTGGTTATTGTGCAACACCGACACTTGTGGCAGATGGACAGCCCGGGTGCACACAGAGCCACGTGTCTGTTGATACTCATAACATGTTGCTATTTGTTTGACTGGCTGACCTCGACCATGAAAGAAAATTAAGCTGACATCTTCCGAAGGGGGGCACTTGAGCTTCCTACGGAGGTTTTCATGTGTATGGCGGGGAATGCAAATGGCCCTGCTTTGCTTTTTATGACGCGAGGAAGGCTTCCACCCCCGCCCCAATAAAACCCACGGGGCTTCCACAAAGCAGGGTTCCCAGGCACAGGGAGGGCACAGGCCAGACTGACGGGCTTTCCCTTTCTGTCCTTGGTTTAGCCTTTCACTAGGGTCTTGGTGTGAGGTGCACCCACCTGCTCACCTGAGCTGGCTTCTGTAATCTCTTAGCCCTGAAATACGTGTCTGCGTCCCTGTGTCAGTCAGTCCTCAGATACCAGCTCCCCTGTGTCTTCAGGACAGGGAGCACTTCTCTCGGCTGCCTCATCCAGGGAGCTGTTAATTCTTGATGATGCTGAGGTTAAGTGCAGGTAATAAAAATATGAATGGTATCAAAGGCCACATTTTCAACACTTTCATAGATACCACTTGGGGGTCAGTCAATAAGCTGAGACGTTCTGAATCTTTTAACAAAGAATGGTGTAGAGTCCCAGGTAGCAGGCGTGCCCCAGGCTGACCCACGCAGTTGCTCTCAGCCGGCATTCATGGAGTGCGCACCGGGATGCTGCCGGCCTCGAAGTCAAAACCCCTTCTCTTGCACATGTGCAGGTTTCGCATCAACACTCGAAGCTGCTGAGGATCCCATCCTTCTTGCCCAACCCTGAGGAGTGCCCCTTGCCGTCTGCGCCTTCCATAGCCAAATCAGGGTCATTGGACTCAGAACTCTCAGTGTCCCCAAAAAGGAACAGCATCTCTCGGACACCCAAAGATAAGGGGCCTTTTCATATACTGAGTTCCACCAGCCAAACAAGCAAAGTACCAGAGGGTCCGAGCCAGACGCCAGCGGCCAGCTCCAGCTGCAGCTCCACCCGCCTGTTTGGGTTGGCGAAGCCAAAGGACAAGAAGGACAAGAAGAAGAAGAGCAAAGGGGGCCGCTCACAGCCCGGCGGTGAGTCCCACCCCTGGGTCTCGCTGTGGCCGAGCTGTCCCCGCACCCTGCACAGTGGGCAGATTGTAGTGGCCCCGGGGGGTAACGACAGGTGCCCCCTCAGCTGGGAAAGCTGAGTTGTCGTGCTTCTGCCAAACCCACCTGCTCTGCCCGCAAAGGACCGTGGGAACTTACACTGAGAACACCAGTGAACGAGCGTGAGGGCCCATTCTCTGTGTGCACGTGCATGCAAAGGAGCAGAGCCTTCGTTTTTCAGGCGTTCATTGTCTAGTTGAGTAGCTGAAACTCTACTCAGTGGAGCATCACGGTCGTCCCTGCCTTTCTGGGCCAGGCCTGTAACTGGTGACAGTGACTGGTGCTTGGTGAGCATTTTCCAAGATCTGATTTAACCCTCGAAGTGACTGTGAAGTAGGGGACACGAACCAGAGAGATGAAGTGATGTGCTCACTGTCACAGCTCGTGAGTCGGTCACTGAACAGGGCTCCCACTTAGGCCCTGCTTTCCCCCGAATCTTTCTCTGTCCCTCGTCACTAGGAGTGCTCTCTCCCTTCTGTGTGGGAGGTTAGAGAAAAATTTCTGTTTGCAGCCTGCTTATAAACAGAAAGTCCAGCGCTCCTGTCAGGCTCACGGGAGCAGCAGGTAGCGAAGGCTGTCGCTGAGGTCGTCGTGCAGCGTGCGGGGAGCCGATTGCCCGCCGGCCCCAGCCGTCCACCTGCATCCCCAGAAACTTGTGTTTGGGGAAAAAGGGAGGGAATTCAATGAAAAGAGCAGTTTTTTTCTGAATTTCATTTTCCTCTTTGGTTGCTCATGTTCCAGATGGCCCTGCGTCGGAAGGACCTGTGGAGGGGGAAGAGATCTTCTGCTGACCTCCCCGTGCTGAGGCAGCGCCACCTGTCCCAGCCCGCGGTTCCTGGCCCGCCCCCCTGCTGCTCCTGTGTGCGTGCTCTTCCATCGGACGCCCCCGCTCTCCAGCGTCCGGTCCTCCTGCGCTGCCCCAGGTCCTTGACCCGAGGAACAGACGGTCTTGAGTGTCAGGGTGGGGAAGAGGCCCAGGATTGGTGGCTGCCGGCGACTCGCGTGCTGGGGCCGACCCTACTGAGGATGTTACACTGAAAGTAGTGGCCCAAGAAGTCCAGGAGATGGTTTTTGACATGTCAGGAATTCCTAAAGGCCAAAAGAGTGTTTCCCAATGAGATCTGACACTCTGCCTGCCTTTGATTTGGGGGACACAACCAAAACTCAATCAGCAGGTCGTTCAGCCTTGATCTGTGTACATAGACAGTAGCCCATCTGCATGGACACGTGGGGTACGCCGGAACGATGTACAGTCTGTCCGGCGCTGCGCAGGGAGCGTGCGGGCACTTGGGGTCGCACCCACGTCCTCCAGAGCTGTCCCCCTGTAAACCCACCGTGCACGCCTCGCCCCTCCTGCATGTGTTTCTCATTCTATTTTAGAAGGGATGACAAACATTTGTGAAAACCAGTTGAGAGAAGGCTTGATGTGCTGAAAACGTGTGTTACCTGTACCTCCTTAATTTTGGCATTTCAGTCACTAAAAAAAAAGCATCTAAGTTCATCATCAAATCCAGAAGAAATCATATGCTGGCTTTCCAAGATGTTTGCCCATGTATTTCAGGCACAGGTGAAGTAGAGAGGCCGCTTCCCTGTGACCCCTGTGGTGTGACACTTTCTGGTTGTCACTGACCAGAAGGGGCCACAGCCTTCTGGCAGTATTCCTGAGACCTCACGTGGCTCCCAGGGAGCCGCTCCTGCTGCCCTCCCTGTTGGGAGAGAGGGGCCCTGTGGGCGCTGTGCCGCTAGTGCCGCCTGCTTCTCCCGCAGCGAGGTTGTCCCACCCCTCGGCCAGGACAGCTGGCCCAGCAGCAGGTGCAGGTGCAGGTGTTCACCCTCTGCCTGGTGATTCCCACCAGGACAGGCAGAGGAGAGCTGGCCGAAGGGGTGGCTTGGAAGGTTCTTCTGGGTCAGGAGGCCTTGACAAAATGTGATTCCTTAAAAAATGTTTCCAGTCTAAAGGTTGTTGGTTATTCTGCTCTCCCCCTCGCAGGGGCCACGGATGCTGCCTGTGTTCTCTTTCTCTTCTCTCTCTTTTCCTTTTCCCTCTGCGTTCTGATCGGTTGGCTCGAGGCTCGTCCCCAGCAGGCAGGGGCAGGGCAGGCCCCATTGGCGATGCTTCCCTCTGAAGCTGTACACCTGCCACACTTGTCGCTCTCCCTGCGGGCAGACCCTGGAAGATTCTGTGCTTTACATGTGGCCTTTCATTCTTGCTCTTTGCCCCTCAGGAGCATGGGTCTTTGGACATACTTTTTAAAAAACAAACAAAAAAATCTGTAACTTGGTGCTTGTTGATGAGTTGCAAGCTGGCCTTGCAGATGGAGATATTTATCTTTCAGTTTATTTGAAAGAGGTCTGGTTTAAAATTTTTAGCTTAGATTTGTTTTATTTATTTTGTGTATGTGTGTGTGTGCGTGCGTGTGTGTTTGAAGGGCGAACACACAAAGCCCAACGGTTTCAGCTCTCTGATCAGTGCAGGAAGCGAGGAGCAGCCAGCCCCACTCACCCCTCGGTATTTGTCCAAGTGTCTTGAAGGCCCAGGAGAGAAGAAGGGTTGGGGAAGGGGTCCGTCTCCTTTGCTCCTCCCGCACCCCCCATCCTTTGATTGAGGGATGTCCTCTTCCTTGCCTGAGAGTTAAGAAACTTGTCCCTGTGAGCTACTCTCACCTGTGTTTGTCGTGGAGATTTCTTACCCTTCAGAAACAGGCTAAGAACCAGCTGATGTTGTCTTGCACCTGGTGGGCCCCCCAGAGACCCCAAACAGCAGGAAGTCCAGCCGCTCCCTCCACCGATCCGTGCAGCTCCGAGGTACAGCTGTGCCTGCCATGGTTTTCCTCAGGTCCGCATGCAGCCCGGCTCTCTGTCCTTGTCACTCGCCCAAGTCCCCCTCTGTGGCTGCATGTCCCACAGAGAGCGCTCTGCTGGCAGGGCAGGGAGCTGAGAGTGAGGCCCTGCGTGCTGCTTCCTCCGTGTCGCTGGAGGCCAGGCCACCTGTTCTGGGCTTGAGACAAGGAGGGTCAGTGCTAGTGAGACCTGCTCCCGCTCCCGCTCATCACAAGAGTGCTGTGACGCGGCGTCTCTGTTCACTGCTGCATAGTGGGATTCCAGTTTAAAGTGTCCTTTTCTCCCAGCCAGCTGTGACGTCTGAGTCGCTTTGGTGGTTTCAGTGGTAGTTTGTGAAAGTGGAGGTTTCACCTCTGCCCACTGACTTAAAATGGTTTGGTCAGGTTCTGGTTGGACAAGTCTAGAATCAGCGCATCAGAAGGTAGTCTGCCTCCGCCCCAGCTGCCCCACTTCATCCAGAATATTCTGCATGCAGAAGAGACCCGCTTACCAAGACGGGGCTTTAGTGCCTGGGCCGTCTGCCCCCTTTGCAGCTGAACTCGGGGATTTATTGTCACGCGCAGGGAGCTGCCTGCGATTGTGCTGCGTGTGCTCTTGCTTTTGACCTTGAGAACCACTCTGGTTACTGAGTCTGCAGCCCTGTCTGGGTTTCTTTCCTGTGAGAAGGGGTTGTCTTCTAGGGTGACTGAGTCAGTTCCCCACAGTGTCCCCACGCTCGGAGGCCGTGCCTCTCCGTCAAGCTCAAGAAATCACATGCCTGGCGTTGCGTTTTAAGTTTTGGGCGACAGACGGAGACACCATCCGGAGTCCCCAGATTTCCAGAATCTAACGATTTTCCTGGAAGGAGGCTGGCTGCATCTTCTCTCAAAACTTCTATCATCTCAATCGTCGTCATCCCAGTTGGGTGACGTGTGCACTTTAAATGCTTTCATTGGTTGGCTTCAATTTTGAGACAATCAACAGTGTTAACTGTTTTCTTCTTTGAAAATGGAGAGGGTTAAAAACATGCGAATTGCCATAATTCAATCTTTGCCAACATTCCATCCTCTATCCCCACAAGAGCTGTCTGTGGGGAAGAAATCCTTATCAAGATTTTTTTCGAAAAGGTACGAATCTTACCTTTTTTCCTCTTAATGTCTCAGGGTAATACCACTAAAAGTTGTCCCTTGCTAATTTTCTCCCTTGTCTCTTGTCTTCCCAAGCCCCTAGTGTTAGTAGTAGCAAGCACGAAGTTCTAAGACCCTTGGGGCTGGTTGTACCTTTATGTGGGGGGGTGGGTGTTGGTGTGTCAGGGTCTAATGAACTAGGCTCCACCTTAAATGAAAGGTTGGACCAGAACCTTAGAGGCCAGAACATGAGCAGAAGTTGCTGTTCACAGACGTCCTCCATATTGCCTCCTTTCGTCTCGAAGGTTCTTTTCCCATAGCCAGGTTTTTCTTCCCCGGGGTTTAGTATTTTCATTGGAGCTGTGGTTTACTCCATTGTTGATGAGCGGCCGTTGTGCCCTGAGGACAGCCAAGCCCTGGGAGGGCTTTAGAGAGACAGTCCTGGTGAGTGGGCTTCAGTGGCCATAGTGAGGATGGCCTGGAGGGGACCCCAGATGCTGCAAAAGCGTATTGACCCGCCCCCCCCCCCAATTCGTGGACACCCTTCGAATGTGGGAGCCCGGAAGTGACCCTTCAGGTTAAACAGTAGCAGTGGCTGACAGACGTGCCCACGGCCCTGGGGGTCGGACCCAGCCCGGCACTGTTGCCCTCTTGCATCCTCAGAGACCAGGAAGAGGGCAAAGACTTTGTTTTGGTTTGGTTCTTCATTTTCCTTTCGATGTAGCATAACATTCCTAGTTCACCAGCGCATTGGAACCCGCTGCCTGCTGGCCAGGTTTTAAAATGAAAAGTATTTTAATGCTGCCATAAAAGGAAAAAAAAAAAAGGAAGGGGAAAAAACAAAGGCTTCTTTCCATGTACTCATCTAATTTAATTTGTCAAAAGATTGACAGGCCTTGAATTCCTTCTCCATCTCGCTAAGGTTTAAAGACGGGCAAACCCTGTGGGCTAAAGTGTCTGCTGCCACCGAACATGACGACCCGCCCCAGACCCCGGGCTGAGCCGGCCTGGGCTGGGGGCTCCCCCACTTCACCCCCTCTGCCTTTCAGCCACTGACAGGACGGGCAGCGCCGACGGGGACCGCCCGAGCTCGGCTCGCCCGTGGTGACGGTTTCGCCTGGGGTTTCCCGAGTGTCACTCAGCCCGTGGCCGGCACATGCGCGGGGGACGCCAGGCTGTGCAGGAGGGTCGTTTCCCTCCGCCTGTACCTCTGCTCCCATTCGTTATTTTCAAATGCTATATGAACATTTCTGTGCTAAATTCTATTAAATAAAAAGGGGTTAAAACCCAGAGGCTGTATATTAATTTGTAATTATGTATAAAGTAAAGCAGTTTTAAACTGTAAAGATTTTTTTCAGTGTGTTTTCTGGAATTTTGCCACAACATACTGGCTTTGTATTTTATTTATCTTCCTTTCTAGTTACTGCTTCAGACTCTTGTAAAGTCCCCCTCGACCCTTTCAAAAAAATAAATGTCCTTTAAGTCTCGATTGTGGCTGTGACGTATTCCTGTCCCTGTGGGCGTCCCAGTGAGAGTCCCAAGATCCTCGGGGGTCCTGGTCAAGGGGGTGCCCCTCCCCAGCTGTCAGGAGCGCCTTCTCCCCCAGGCAGCCTGATTTCTGCACCTCTGGGACTGGGAGCCGGGAGCGGGGTCCTGGAGCGCCGAGCAGCTCCCTGGGGACTCCCGCTCTTTCCTGGAGCCGGGGCCCAAAACCCAAAGGTGTCAAGAGTCAAAGCTATTTCCAGCTGAATCAGTGTGGCAGGAAAGTGTCCTTTGTTGTAGAGTGTACCACATCAAGAAGATTCATGTTAGTTTGCCTTTCTTGGCCAACTATCTTCACCCCATCCTACCCGCAAACAAGGGCAGTTGCCACAAACTAATTGGGAAGGAAAATGCTATTTGCATGTAGCTCCACAGGGATTTACTGGGCCGGCTCTCAGGGCGCGGGCTCTCCCTCCGAGAAATGGCTGAAATGCACAGTAGGAGCTGTCGCTGCCCCTGCCTGCAGGAGCCTGCAGTGCCTCTGTCGCCTCTGAGCCTGAGCCCGCCGTCCCTCCGAGAGGGCCCTGTGCCCAGCCAGACAGGGAAGGGCCGCGTGGAAGCAGAGAACGTGGGCTCCGCTGCCCAGAGCTCCCTGTTCCTCCCCACCCGACCGCTGAGGAGGAGAAAGTCTTGCCAGGATGCCGGCTGTCTTCCCTCTCTCCATGAACCTGGCAGAGCACAGATTGCTTAAGTCTTTTGTAGCCCTGGCAATAGCTCCCTCTGACAGGCCAGTGAAACACTGGTCCCTTCTCACTCCTTGCTGCCCTTGGCTGTCACCACTCTTCCTGCAGGCCCCCACCCCCAAGTCGCCCGTCCCACGGAGCCACCCTCAGCAGGGCAGGGAGAGTAGTTCCCATGGCCTCGCTCCTCCACTCGCCACTGTCGTTGGGTCTGAGCCAGGGATGGGCTGGCTAGGAGGCGAGCAGAGGGAGGCGGTTCTGCTCTTCCTTCCGGAACAGCAGAGGCGCACAGCACACAGAGCTCCAATCCTGGCCGGCCGTTCAGCAGGGCTGGGGGCTCGTCGCAACCTGCTCTGAGGGAAACTGCTCTGCCCAGAGCCTCTGCCCAGCGCGGCCTGGCCACTGAGTGGCCACAGTGGCCACTTCCTGTTTGAGAGTCCCCCACCCGTGAGGGATGAGTGGCAGGTGTAGGAGAGGAAGACAATTCCTCTACCCTCTGGGTCCTCCTTGCTGGGCTACGAATTAAATTGACATGAGACACAATAACAGGAGAAAAATCCAAGTTTAATAACGTATACATGGGAGAAACCCAGGAAAACTAAGCAACTCACCAAAATGGCCAAAGCTGCCACCTTAAATCCCGTCTTCAGCTAAAGACAAAGGAGGATGTTGGGGGGGGGGTCGTTTGGGTCTTCAAAGTGGAGGAAGGCAACTCACATGGAGACGGAAAAGCAAATGTTTGGTAGACAGAACTTTGATAAGAGAGGGCTTAGCAAGGACCCTCGCAGTCTACCAGATACCCAGGGTTATCTGTGGTGGTTGGCCTGTCCTGGGACAGGTCTTCTATCTTAAGTTCTTTTAGGGAGTTGGGGGGAAGGTCAAAGTTCTTTCAGAGTCTTTTGTTCTTAAAAGTAATCAAGGCTGAGGTCTGCAGCGAAGCCCCTGCCCAGAAAGGGAGTGTGGCAACTAGTGCAACAGGACAGAAGTCTGAGTCCAACACAGGGAGAAAACTGGGAAGCCGGAGAGTCCAGACCAGAGCATGCAGGGGACGGAAGAAATGCAGCGAACGGGTTCTATTTCCTTGGAAGCAGTAACAGAGGCAGAACTGAGGTGAGCTGAGCTGCAGAGCGTCAGAAATAACCTTGGGGGGCCAGTCACCTCATCGCTGGTGCAGCCTCAGGCCCGGATGGCGCCTTCAAAGCAAGAAGAACCGCCCCCCCCCACCGCCGCCCTGCCCCCCACAGCTCCTTTTCTTGGATTCTTAGGAGATTCTTTTTTCCTTAAAATTGCTGCCATTTCTTCAGGGGCCTCAGGGCACCACCAGAAGGTCACCCAGAGGGTAGTGGAGCAGTCCATTTGGGTACTGCTCTGCCACCCCCGTGGGGTTACTGAGACGCGTCCCTAGTGGGAAAGAGGGTCAGAGCTTGGGCGGAGTCGCTGTGCGCCCCAGATTTGGAGAATGTGGGTCACAGGCCCCGCCGGCCTCCCCGCCCCCTCAGAAGTCTCCAGCTGCATCTGGTATCCAAGTTACAACTCCACCGTCCCCAGGCCCCCTCTGGCCTCCTTCTTTCATATGGTAATTGCTCGCTCCACACAGCCATAAATAGTCCCACTGAAGTTTGGGCCGCTCCTCCCTCCAGTCGCCTTTGTGAAGCTTTCCTCCATCCTGGGAAACGGTATCTGAACCCCGGGATAGGGGGAGGGGAGAGGGACCCAGGAGGGCCTCTGTGGGAGAACTGACTTGGGGCTGCGGGAATGGCATGACTGGCTCCTTAGAACAGACCAGCCGAGAGCCAGGCCTGCTTTTTTCTCCCTCCCTGTTACCCCTTCCCTTTGAGGGTCCCTGAACTTCCCTCCCACCCCCAGCTGCGGAGTTGGAGCTGGGCAGTTGCCTAGACAACCCCCGTTTTTCCCAGCCTTGCCTTGTCTCTGTTCCAAAGGAGCAGGACGCTGGTCACCTCAAACAATGCTCCCCACGCTGCATGCACCAGCCGGCTGGCGGTGAGGAGCTAGTGAGGGGGCCAAGCCAGGGGCCCACTCTGTCAAAGGGGCTGTGGACAAAGGCTGGGGAGGCCACAGGGCAAGTGAAAGAGCAGGTGCAAAATTCAGACCGGAGAGTCTGGGCTCCACGTCCAGCCATGTAATGGCCCAGTGACCTTGAACAAGTCATTGAATCTCCATCTCAGTTTCCTCTTCCTGCGGGAACGAGGGTACCCAGCTGGCAGAGTCGCTGCGATGATTCCCTGAGATGCGGATGTTGAATGCCTGGTCCCCAGCATGCCATTATAGTCTCATTCTTGAGCCTGTTATCCACAGCAGCAGGAACAGCCTGTCACAGCAGTGGCCCCCGGACTTGCATCCTTCACGTCTGTCTCCCGCATCCTTGACGTCTGTCTCTGTACCAGGAGGAGAGCTCCCGAGGGCAGAGTCAGTCTTCTCCATCGGCCTGGCAGCAGCACAGCACAGGGCGCGGCCTGGAGCACCTCATCTCTGGGCCTCTTGTTCAGAGGACCCGTCCCCTCTTCCCCTCACCTGACTCAGACAAGTTGTCACTTCTTCAAGGAAGCCTTCCCTGATAGCCAAGGCACACCCAGCCCTTCCTTCCTGTCTGCCCTTAGCACCCGGAACACACCATCTGCAGCTTACACAGAACCACGTGGCGACTGGACCTGCCCCGGCTCTGCCGCCAGCCTCGCCTGTCCCCGGCTTGCATGCCAGGCCCCTGCTCCTGGAAATGGGCTGAAGGCCACCTCATCCAACCCTCATTCCAAAGCTATTCCCGGGAATAAAGGACAGGCGGGACTGTCCCGGGGCTGGAAGAGGCAGGGGCCACCACTCTGCAGCAGCCACAGCCTGGAGGGCTGCCCCGGCTCCAGTTGGACTGTCCAGAGTCCTGCCAGGCCCTGGAGTGGCCGCTCCGCCCCCTCCCCTACAAAACAGCTGAGCCCCACCCCAACCAAGTCTTGGGTCAAAAGTGGACCAGGCCACTCTGGTCCCACACTGGGACCGGGGAGCCCTGGGGCCTCTCACCCTCTCCCACTGGGGCTGGGAGAGCCAAAGCAGCTGGGTCTGGAAACAGAGAGACTCAAGTTTACACCCTGGTGCCCCACTCCTGTGTGTCTTGGGCCGACATGCTTAACCTCTCTGAGCTACAATTTCCTCATCTATAAAATGGGGGTGATGACGCCGACTCCATACAGATACTGTAAGAAAAAAGAATTACTTGTCGTTTCTTCCTCCTTGACAGGAGGAGACTGAAAGATGGAGGCCTCGGTCTTGAGGAATGTGCGTCCATGGTTCCCTGAAGGGAAGGCCTGCCAGCTGTGAAAACTGACTGTGATTTTGGGCCTGCCAAATCCTTTCAGATTCATTTGGGTCAAAGAATATCTGCCAGTGTCCTGTCTTCTTGGGATGAGCATCCCATGGAGGGCCCAAGAGCGAGAGGCACTCACTGGCCAGAAACCACAGGTCTCACATTCGTGATCCCGTGGATCCTGACATCCTGAAGGCGATCCGAGTCTCCCCACCTGTGGAGGCTCACCAGAGCTCGTGGAGGGAGGCAGCTGGCCCCGCCGGAGCCGGCGTCAGCCCAGGCCTGCAGACCTGCCGCCCGGTGCCTACAGACCAGCGTTCTCCGGAGTCCAGTCTTTGGATCCCTGCGTCGGAACTATCTGGGCTGCTAGTGAAACTGCTTCTCCGGGGGCCCAACCCCAGGTTTAATGAGTCAGAGTCTCCTGGGATGAAGCTGGGGAATTTGCACGTTCAACTAACTCCCTGGGGAGTTCCACGCACAGTAAAGTGTCGGGGGCCCTGTGTGCGCCCTGACGCCCCCCGACCCAGGAGAGCGGGGGAAGGGGGGTGGAGAAATGAAGGTGAAGGGAGAGTGTCAGAGCCCCTTGGAGCAGTGCTTTCCACTCTGCAAAAAGAGCTTCCCTCTGGGGGATCCTGCTCCTGTGCTGCAGGTTATCCTCCAGAACATTCTGGCTCTTTACAAATCACGGTGAGCCCGGCTCTGGGCTAGGTGGGAGCTGTAGTTTCTCATCTGTGAGATAGAACAGTACGACCTCATGGGGCTGCTGTGATGATGAAATGACAGGACAGCACAGAATAAACGCTCCGTAAATATTTCCTACCATGGCTGTTTGTGCTGACCTTGTCACGGTTGGGCTGAGTCGCCTTGAATGTGCCACAGCCACAAAACAGGTGGTTGGACTCAAGCAGTGGCTCTCAGCCTTGCTGCACGTTAGAATCACCTGGGGGAGCTTTG